GAGATTTACCGCTGATTACAGAACCAGCTTTCTGACAAGATGTGCGTTCAATATCGCATGCGATTTATCGTGCAGCCCTAGTCTATACCTTGTGGTAATGGTAAAATCAAGATTTGGTGGCCAACATTGCATCCTTTTGGATTTAGTCTGTCATTAGTTGCTGTGGGACACATTTTAGCAAATCTACCATTATATTCCATTCGTTGACTACTGGTGCATAACATTTTTAGGCAATAGTCATTATGTTTCAAGAGCTTGGTTGCTGTGCAAAGACAAAAATCCAGCACTGACAATCAATGGAATAAACAAACACACTATCGGTAAGGGGTACACATATTTATGCTAGCGCCCACTTACCTGGTTTTAAGCAAATCAGTCACGACTACTAGAAGAATGTTACGTAACCTACTTGATGTTCATGCGCCAGGCTGAGAAGGTTGTCAGATTTCTCCTACACCCTTGCGTGGTTTTGCAATGGTTGACACCCCTAGGTGGTTATGCACAATTATCCTCCATCAATTCCCAAAATACAAGCAGGCATGTTGTTTTGGAAGCAATCTAGCTTTAATATCATATCTCCAATAATAGAGCCATGATCTCAATTTACCTGTTCTACCCTACATCTAGCTGTACTTTAGCCCAGACGGGGGCACAGACTGAGTGCAGGGCACAACAGAGAATCAGACAAATAATTTTAATTCAATCTCCCCAGAGGAACAGGGATTTCATGGCAGATTGGTCCTGTAAAGTATTTACCAACTCTCGAGTTAATATGTTGACACATCTATGGACTGAAGCTTCAGTGCTCTGCAGCATTGAAAAGGCTATGTAAACAAGCTCAAGGATTCCATGAATACTGCAAGGCAGATTAATGTGTTTCTTTGTACACTGCTTTAAGAAAGTAGGAGGACTCATGGTGTCAAAAAAGCAGGAAATCAGTTTCTGGTGATTTATTTCTGATGAAATTTGCATAGGATGCCACAAAAAAGTGAAGTGAAAGAACATCATCACCTAAGTCTTTAGTAGGCAAGCTGGATACAGTCGACTATCTATGGGTAATGGAGTGTGGGTTTCCATTCCTGATTACATGCAGGAGGAAAACAGAAACAAGACCATGCTTTTACAGGGTTATCAGTCATGAGTTATGTTAAATGTTGGTTAAATGGTTCTATTTAGTTCTGTTTTGTGCTATTTATGTTATGTTTTACATCATGTTATGTTATGGTTCTATTTTGTTCTGTTTTATTTATTTCCTCTGCTATTTAATATGTTATGTCATGTTAAGGTTATATCCTGTTCCGATTTGTGCTGTTTATTCTGTTCTGTTATGGTTCTATCTTGTTCTTTTTTATTTGTTTGTTCTGTTTTGTGTTATTATTTTATGTTATGGTTCGGTTTTGTTTGTTGTTTATTTGTTCTATTTTGTACAGTCTATTTTGTTCTGTTCAATGACATTCTCCTCTCC